TGGTTTCTCTTACTCTTTGCGGATCCCTTGTTCAGTTGTTGGCTTCATGACTTTCTCGACCCTGTGTAATTTCTTCTCCTTCCTGTTTGGTTTTACTTACTCTTTGCGGATCCTTTGTTCAGTTGTTGGCTTCATGACTTTCTCGATCCCACCTAATTTCTTCTCTTTACTCTTTTGGTTTCTCTAGGAAACAAGATTGATTTATCCCATAAGCGAGAAGTCTCCCAACAAAGAGCCGAAGAGTTTTCCCGAGCCCAGGATATGTACTATCTGGAGACGTCGGCAAAAGAATCCGATAACGTGGAAAAACTCTTTTTGGACTTGGCTTGTCGGCTGATTAGCGAAGCGAGGCAGAACACCCTGCTGAACAATGTGGAGTCTCCCTTGCCGGGCGAAGGGAAAAGTATCAGTTATTTGACTTGTTGCAATTTTAACTGATTGCATTTGAACCCCCAAGAGTTATGACTGCTCCTTCTACAGGCCTCTCTCCGGAGGCAAAGGCTGCTATGACCCGGTCTGACTGGTGGAGATAGTCAGGCACCTGATCATGACGCATGCTGGGCTGGCCATTTGTCTGCAGGGTCAGTCTAGAGGATAACCCCCCCCCCCCCCCCCCCTTTTTAACACGTCCCACCCAGGAGCCTCAAAATTTGGAGGAGATTAAGATTCAAAAAGGTGCTAGGTAGCAGCTGGTCAGGTCATGGTTTTCACTTCTTTGGAAGCATCTGGGATCTTTCCCTTGGAAATTCAGGATGGATTGTGTCTGCCCTTTACATCTTTACAGAAGGAAATCGAGAGGTGCATTAGGAAATGGCTGCGGGTTGACAACGCTTGTATATAAACCACGACCCGGAGTACCATTTTGTACGGCACAAACTCCACCGAGCGCGCGCGTTGCGTGCCTATGTGATTTTTTTTTTAAAAAAACCCCTAAGTATTAATGCATCTGTAATCTGGGATTGTGATAAACGTGGGAGTTAAAAAGGGATAGGTTGATCGTTTGCAATCCGCAGGGCTTGAGGTTGGATGGCTGCTCTTTCGGTTCTTGTAATCCAGAAGCTAAATTTCCTCTATGGTCAGCTTGCTCTGTTCTCCATAGACAGAAGGTGTGTCCTTGAAAAGGTATTGGTCATAAATACAGCAGCCTTTTGGTCCATCGTTCCGACGAGAGACCAGTGATATGAATTTAAAAGTTGGCCACGAGTTATCCCTGCATCTCTGATCAAGTGTTCCAAAACTTTGCCTCTCAAACCAGCATTGTTTTGTTTTGCCATATGGTGGGGCTTCCAAACCCACTTCATTTTTTTGCAGAAAAGAGCTGGTGAAGTATTGTTCGTACTGTTCCGCCGGTCTTGGACTTAGCTAAAATAAGCTTCTTTGTGAGAAATGATGGATCCTGGAAGTCTGGACTTCAGATGTGGTTGTTTGAGAGAATGCTACAGCGCTGAGGCTGTACCTATGCACAAATATAATACATGGGGTGCTCTATTGTTGATGCATTTGAGGAATCGGGCATGAATATATTGGGAAGGTCGTAAAAATCCCTCTTGAAATGAGCTGTATAATGTAGCAGGTAGTCCTCATGGCTGAATTCTGCTTTTAACTAGAACACTAGCACTAACTGCGGAATTTGCTGTCTTATTGGAAAGGGCATGTACAATTTCAAAAGGTTTTTCTATACGGTTGAGGAGGAAGGGAAATATCACGTTCTAAATCTTTTAGACAGCTTTATCGAGGCTGCAATCACCTTGCAGAATACGTAGCTCCGAAAAGCCATTTATTTAAAAAGGCAGAAATGCAAGCCCGCTTCCCACAGCCACTTGGAGATTTGTTTGTTTGCTGTACTTGGGCTTAATTGTGCGTGGGTGTGCGTGCGCTTGTGTGCATACGCAGAGAACGGTGTGTAGGCAATACCCTTGAACCAAAGCCTCGGTGTTGGAAGGACGATGCACAAAAGTCTTACTGTACGAGTTTGCAACTTCAGCACTCCAAACGTCGAATTGCAAGGAGTCAACGCAAATTTCCTTATCGGTGCTTCACTTGTATACTTGAAGAGAGACAAACTGGAAGGCAAGGGATTCACAATTATTAAGGTATTAGCATTACATGGCTGGATGTTCCATAGTTAGCATCACTTAATTTGGGTAATTGGTTGGGCAAATAAGGTTTTGGCATGGCATTCAATGAAGAGGTGGTTCTACATCGCATCAGCCGCCAGTAAAAGCAGTGGTATTGTAAATCCAAGAGGGCTACCCAGTACAGAATGTTTTGGGGGATAGAATTGTGCTCAAACTATGACCGATGTCCCCTTTTGCATTAAAATAAAGCTGCTAAAATTTTAGCCTTTTTTGAGAATAAAGCTGACATTTTAAAAGCGTTGCGTTTTTTCTTTCTTTCTTGCGGATTTTTTTTTTCTTTTCAAAATCCAACATTACTGTTATAAAAATCAGTTATCCATCCTTTCGGGTGTAGAACACAACTTTCAACATCCATTTATTAATGAGCAGGCTAGAGGGAACGCTCCAATCATTCTGTACAGGCAGTCCTCGTACTTGGCAACCCTAATAAAACCCTACATTTCCCTTGCTAAGCAAGACTTCCTGTTTTTCTGAAAATACCGGAAGTGACGAAACACGGCTAGTTTTCATCCTGCAAAGCCTGCAGAAGCCTTCCTCAAGCCTTTGGGAGGTTGAAAAAGGCCTCAAACCAGCCAAAAATCAGCTGTGAGGCGCAGTGCAGGTAAGGGGGCGGTGGGGATTATGCGCACATGCGTAGGGGGCGTGTGCGGGTGCACATTGCATTGTCTTCTGGGCGCTGGCACACAAGTGCGCGCATGCAAGCGTGTGCACAATGGTTAGCCACCACTGCACTATACCATTTTGGTTGTCCAATTTCTTCTTAGAAACTTCCAGTGTTGGAGCATTCACAACTTCTGGAGGCAAGTTATTCCCACTGATTAATTGTTCTGTCTGGAAATTTCTCCTTAGTTCTAGCTTGGTTCTCTCCTTAATTAGTTTCCATTCATTGCTTCTTGTCCTGCCTTCAGTTGCTTTGAAGAATAGGTTTCTGAGAACTTTAAATAGTACACTGTTGCAGCATCCCCATGGTCGTATGATCAAAATTTGGACACTTGGTAACTAGTTCATATTTACGAAGGTTGCAGTGTTCCGGGGTTGTGTGATCCAGTGGTGGTATTCTACCGATTCAGCCTGGTTCTGGCGTACCTATAGCGCCGAAGAGCAGTGGAGACCAAACTGGTTCTCTCAGCGGAGGTGCTGGAGCTGCTATTGGGCCCGCCCGCCCGGGCTCCCATACTGACCTTTATTCCTTGCTTTTGAAGCGCAGCTGCTTTGCACGGCATAGCAGATTGCCGCGCATCAGCTGCTGAAGCGACAGGGAGAATAGGATTGCAGGAGGTGAGGCTGCGCAAAGTGCACCCACCAAGCCACGCCCACCGAACCGGTGGTAAACTTTTGAAACGCACCACTGGTGTGATCCCCTTTTCCAACCTCCTGACAAGTCAATGGGGAAGCCAGATTCACTTAACAACCATGTTACTAACTGAACAACTGCAGTGATTCACTTAACAGCTGTGGCAAGAAATGTCATCAAAACACTTAACAAATATCTCACTTAGCAACAGAAATTTTGGGCTCAATTATGATCCTGATATGATTACCTGTAGTTGGCCGATTCTCCATGAATGGTGGACATATAAGCCTGAACATTAATATTTATTTTTATTATTTATTAGACTTTAGAGGGCTGGCCAATCAGAAAGATTGAAGGCAGTCATATCAAAAAGGAAGACAAAACCTCAAAGATGACAAATTAGTTTTTAATTTACTAGGAAAGAGTCCCTCAACGCTTTATTAGTTACAATCCATTCCTTAAAATGATCCTGTGTAATAGCAACAAACCTGGCTATATACAGTGTGTGTGTGCGTGTGTGTATACACATACACACACACACACACACACACACACACACACATATATAAGCCAAGCCTTTGCTGTTCCAGCCCCAAATTTACAACTGTTGAAACTGTGCTCCAAGTACAACTGTGACCGAAAGATTGTATTTCAAAGTGAAAGGTGCCTTCAAGAGGTTGGCTGTGATACAGCGGCCTCCATGTTGGACAACTAGTCATTACCAGAGAAGAGTTCAGAAGACCAGTCTGCGACATGAGGCATGGGAGAAGGTGTGGGCAGAAGCTTTGATCTGCTGAAGTCTACTGAAGATGATCTGTCGGGCGATTCGTTGACTGGAGGACCAAGCGTTGTTCTCTGTTGACACATAAGTTGGCCTTCAATGTCAGCTTCTTCTGGTTGCTGCTTTTTAGGAAGAAATGCGACCTCTGCTAATTTGGAAAGACTTCTTGGACTCAAGGATCCTCCTTGGTTTTCAGAAAGAGGAAAATCCTCTATAGCTCGGCCATCGCTGTGAAGCCTGACAAAGCTTTTCCTTCTCTTCCTTTTCCACGATTTTACATCCTGACTTTGGATTTCACCCAAAGGAGGGCTCCATTCTTGGCCACCATCTTCGGACAACGACTCTTGGGCCGAGAGGCGACTCAGAGGTCCCCATGGGTTGTCCGTGCCAGCTTCTGCATCACTCGACGTTGCAGACGGCGAGAACTTGCTGACAAGCTGTTTCACTAAAGAGTTTTTCAAGGGGAGCCTAGACCTTTTACACTTGTCTTTGTCCCAGGGCAATTTATTCAGGGGTAGTTCGCTTAGAAGGGATCCTTTCCCTGCAGGGAGGCTGTCTGGATGACAAGGCCTTGCGAGGGGAATGGAGCGGGGAGCGGGAGTGAAGTCCAGGATAGCCACAGGGCTGCATTCAGACTTGAACCCTGATCCAGCAATCGGAGTACTTGTTTTGGGGACCGAGACATCCATTGTGTCATAGAACGATAACCCATAATGAGAAGTAGTCCATGCAGCATTTCCCTTCCTTTCCCTTAGCATCAATTCTGATGTTATAAAGTTTGGGGACAGTGCGCCAGTCCAGGGCGTGACTATCTGGGGCCTGGGTAATATTGTTGTTGTGCTTTTCATCGATCCACTGGCACTCATCTCAAAGAGATCCGCCGAAGCATCAAAATTAGCCTCGGGGCGGCTGGAACCCACCTGTGGGAAATGGTAGACATCCCTTCCTCTCCGAGAACGGTCTTGTTCTTCTGCGAGCAACTTGTTCTCTTTATTTTTGCCTGGTTTTTCACAGAGAACCGAGGCGGGACGCTGCTCTTGTCCATTTGGGAGATCGGCGGGGGATCTGCCATTGGCAAGAAATTCAATCAAGCCTCCAGAGGAGGCTTCTTGAGAGGTTGCATCTCCTGTAGCTCCAGAAGAGGAGGAAGAAAGGCGTTTCTTAAGTCTCTGGTGGGGCAAAGGACGCTGTGGATTTGCTAGCCCACAGCTGGACTGGAGGCCAATTTTGCGTGAAGAATCTTTCTGTTCCGATGATAAGGGGCTTTCTAAGATATCACCATTTTTTCCTTTTATGGAAGGTCTACTTCCTAGTTCATCCTTTGGGGTGAGACTTTGTCGAGGGTACCAACAAGACTTCTCACCTTCACACGCATCTCCCTTGTCTCGCGTCGAGTTTTGGCCCCTGAAGTTGTAAACCAATTGGCTGGGTGACATAATCAATCCACCTTTTTCCTTCTTTGAGCTCGACTGGCATGCATCTAAAGCTGCGGAATGTTCCGCGTCTTCCGATGAGGCAGACGACCAAGTTAGTCCGAACGAGTAAGACCAGAGGTTGGAAAAACCATTTCTGTGACTTGACTGAGTCACATCCAAATTGTCAGAGAGAGGCAGGCTCCTTAATTCCCTGCTTGGATGATCAGATGCCAGGACGTGATCCAGAGGCCATAAAGCCCCACGACTCTGCTCAAACGGAGAACTTCGCTGCTCCTTGATGTAGAAGATAACGGTGTAGCCCACAAGCCCAGGGTGAGGCAGGAACATTTCACAGGCGATGAGAGCTTTGGTGCTTCGCTCCCTTTGGCAGCCATTTTGCAATAAGCTAGCCATATTGGCCGCCTCAGAACTCTGCAAAGAAATGAAATTTGTTCTATCAGTTATTTATTTATGAAATTAAATGTCAGAGCTGGACTGTCTTCCTTTGCTCTCCTCACCTGACAAAGGAGGAATCAGAAATGTGTTTTATTCACGTTGTCCGCATCAGCCAATTTCAAACCGTAGTTACTTGAAGCTGGCTGGTTTAAACTAGGCACAGGAAACCTTAGTCACACAGTTCTTGATCCAGACTAAGAGGAAGTTCTCTCTCTCTCTCTCTATCCCTATAATTATCTATCCATCTCTATCTCTAACTGTATATCAGCTCTCCATCTCTTTATCTCTATCATCTCTCCATCTCCTGTCTATATCCATGTATCCATCTATCTCTAGGAGTATCTCTATCATCTCTCCACCTATTTCTATCTCTAACAGTATCTCTATCATCTCTCTATTTCCTTCTGTCTATAACTATCCATCCATCTCTATAACTGTAATTCTATCATCTCTCCATCTCTCTATCTATATCTCTATCTGTGTCTCTATCATCTCTCCCATCTATCTATAATATATATCCATCTCTATTTAACTGTATCTCTATCATCTCTCCTTCTCTCTCTCCTTCTCTATCTACCTGTCACCTTTCCCTTCCTCCGCAAACATTTATATTACCACTTGCCGACTCACGATTCAAGGCAACTTACAGGAAATAAAACACAATATAAAAGAAATAATAATGAACATAATAAAATAATAACCCCCCATCCCCCTAACCTGGTGACCACACACACTCCTACAGCCATTTAATGGGGTCCATCTCGCTCTGGGTTCCCCAGGCCTGCGGGCAGAACCACGTCTAATTTCCTGGGGGAGGGGGCCAGTCTAATCTCCCGGGGGAGGGTTAGGTGTGATGTTCCAAAGGGAGGGAGCCCTTCTTCTATGTCCCACCAGATGTATCTCTTTAGGGGATGGGACCCCGCAACCTTCCTTGCCTCCCCGCTCTAATGGGTTGGATGTCCCTGGCAAGAGATGGTCTCTCGGACATCTTTGCTTTAACTAAAAACAAAGTCCCTCTTCTTGCTTCTTCGGAGTAGAAGCGTAAGTGGCTAAACTATTTTGCTGCTCAATTATGCCCAACTAAGGATTGTCAATCTTTCAGTGAATGACTTGATATTTTGGGGGAGAATAAAGTCCCCAGTTTGGGTATCAATGATGCAAAAGTCCAGGGGTCTCTCTCATGGCAGGGGTAGATCTACGGTTTTGTGCGTTTCTTGACTCGAAATAGCAATTCATACCGTGATTTATGGCTGCAGCAAATGCATCCCCACTCTGAAACCATGACAGCCTTATAATTAAGCCTGCAAAACCTTTCTTTGCTCTCTAGCAAAATCGAACACAGAATCCAATTCTTCCTGAAGCAGACCC